ACTCTGTGCCAAAAATGGCATCGCCTGTTTCCCAGTCACCCACTACTCGCAAGGAAATGATCCTGGGTGCGTCTGGCTCAGTGTCCGAGCAGAGATCGCGCAGGAGGGGGTGTTGGTGTCTGCTCCAGACCAGCACAGCACACTGGGGAACAGGACGACCGGCTCCTTACGCACCAGCTATAACGTGTGGGGAAAATGCTGCGTGAGCACAGGGGACTTCAGTTTGCCTGACAGATGCTGGGGTCTCCTTCTGCCAGGGCTAAAACATCCTGGGAATGTATTAACATTACAGATGAGAGTTTCCTAACACAAACTGTGTTGCAGCCAACACGGAGATTTCTAGATCGGAGCTCGTCTGAGGCTGGTGCGACCGCTGCTGGCATACTGCCCGGTTCTGTGCCCACCTTTCCAGAAGGCTATTCTAAATTAGAGAGAATTCACAAAGGAGCCTCAAGAATGCTTGAAAGGTTAGAAAACCTGCCTCCTGGTGAGAGACTCACGGAGCTCAATCTATTGAGCCTAACACAGAGAAGGTTAAGGGGTGACTTGCTCACAGTCAATAAATACCTACATGGGGAATCAATATTGGATAGTGGGCTCTTCCACAAAGACCTAACACGATCCAATGGCTGGAAGTTGAAGCCAGATGAACTCCGGTTGGAAATAAGGCGTACAAGTCTTAACAGGGAGGGACAAAGAGTCCTGTGGCACCTTGTAGACTAACAGACTATAAGGTGCCACAGGACTCTGTCGCTTTTTACAGATCCGGACTAACATGGCTACCCCTCTGATACTTAACAGGGAGGGTAATGAACCATTGGATCAACTTCCCAAGGGGCGTGGTGGATTCTCCATCGCCAACAATTTTTAATCAGGATTGGCTGTTTGTCTAAAAGCTCTGCTCTGGGAATTAGTGTGGGGCAGGTCTCTGGCCTGAGCTGTGCAGGAGGGCAGACTAGATCACAGCCTGGAACCTGTGTATCTAGAAATCAATGGGAGTTTGGCCATTAATGTCAACAGAATCAGGATTTCTCCTGAGATACCTCAAGCCAGACCCCTAAATCCACCTATAGCCCCGTGTGCCTACGGGGCTGGATTTCCAAAAGGACTGAGCACCCACAAATCCCCCTGAAGCCACGGGAGTGGGGGGGTCACAGCTACTCTGCATGGCCCAGGATCATAGCCTACGCAATTCACCCACGGGCATGAGGCACAGAAGAGGCAGCGTCACGTGGAGAGCCTCGGAGTTCTCGACCCTGAGCTTCCTGCTCAGCTGTTCCAAAGGCCTGGGCAGGACTCAGGCGGCACGTCCCTCCCCTCAGCCGGGTGGGATAAGCAAGTGCAGAGCCGTGCGAATCCTTTCCTTTCCGAGACGTCCCACCCTGGGAAATGGCGCCTTCTGCCCAAAGACCCCTTAGTGCTTTACACACCTGGCCTCGCGCCTTGACTCAGGCAAACTCGCCTTGTCTTCAGTGGGAGTTCTCGGCATTAGGACTGTACGGTCAGGATCTGTGTTCACAGGGATATCTCACCTGGCACTGAAGTCCAGCCACCTCTGGGTTGGGATGCAGTAGCTGTTTAACAGCAACGCTACAGAAGAGTCTGGGGGAGAAGGTGGAGGATCCTGTACCCAAGTGAGACTGGCTGGGGAATCAGTCGGGAGTCAGTTGGGAACTTGCCCGGATATTGGGATTAGCTGTCCTGCCCTTTCTGGAAGTCTTTGTGAGCTGGAGGGTCAGCGTCCCCCCTAACGAGGGTGCAGTGGGACAGAAGAATTGCTAGCAGAGTTTGTGATGACTGGGGGGATCTGTCTGGGGGCAATGTATGAATTCTGGCCGACAGTACGGAGCTGTGATTATGAAATAGTGGTACCAGCGAAGGGGGGCTGGACAGAGGAGCCACACCCTGAGAATGTACCCAGGGACCCAGCCTAGGGTATGTGTCTGGGCTCTGCTCAGACTCGGGACACAGGGTCCGGTCGAACGAGCCCCAAGCACAGCGGCCTGGGGAGGGTTCGGCCAGGGGGAGCTCGGCCAGGGCGCAATGTGGGACAGAGCGGAGCTGCAGGGAGACTGGTACTCTGCCAAGGGAAAGGGCTGGAGCAGGGTCCTGGGGACGGGCTGCAGGGAGCCGAGGGGCTGGACTGACGCCTCTTGCCCACCTCTGGTGCCTGCAGTGCCTTTGTGATGTCAGGACCGGGCTGGGCCTGACCCTGTATGATGCGCATTGGAACAAACTGCCCCTCAGGGGAGATCCAGCCGCGGCAGCAGGGAGTGCAGTGTCTCCGCCCCAGTGTGCGTCCCGGCCGTACTCCCCAGCATGTCTGGCGTGGTGGTGGGGGTCGTGCACCGCTGATTCTCTGCCTGCTGAGCACGGCCAGAATGTCACAGGCGTCCATGATCGGGATAGCCTTGGAGACCCAGCACAGCTTCTCCGGGAGAAGCAGGATGGTGGGAGCAACCCACGAAGCCCTCTGCAGCCTTCCTGCACTCTCAGCCCTGCCCTGACACAGCCCATGGAGCGCCCGAGGCCCCTGTTCTGACCAGGCCCCGTTGGGCTGGCGTGGCACATCCGCAGAGAGAGACACGGCCACAGACAGAGCTCGTGGCTCCATTCATCGGCCGTTCCTACTGCCCCCTCCCCACCCCAGCTAGTGCTAGAAACGCCAGGGCTCTCCCTCCTGGTCCCTAGGTTCCCCGGCAGTGACCCGGTCTGGCGATGGATTGCCCTACGCGCAGGGACGCGGAAGCCCCACAGCCAGGTGATTTCCCCCTGGGACTGGGTTGCTAGCTGGGCTGTGACCAGCAAAGCCTCCCGAAGCCGCAAGCTTTCCCGGGCCCTGGCGGGCTGGGCCGGCTGGGGAGGGAAAACGGAAGAGGGCGCGGACAGATCTTTGGGCAGCCGTGGGGGTGGTCGGCGGGGGCTCCGGGCTCCATCCCAGGGGAGCTGGGCTCACAGCGGGGACCCCGTGGAGATGGTGAGAGAGGAGGGCCTGCCAGGGGGCATTGTGAAACCCGTCACAGCCTGGCCGGAGGGTCAGTGGGCCTGGCCCCCATTAGACCCATAACCCCCCCCCCCCCGGGTCACCCCCAGGGCAGGTTCCTCGGGGGCTGACGCCGTTTCGGCTCGGGGCAGGGTGCCCAACTGGCTACAAAAAGAACAGGAGTCCTTGTGGCACCTTAGAGACTAACAAATTTATTAGAGCATAAGCTTTCGTGGGCTACAGCCCACTTCATCGGATGCATATAGAGTGCAGGCTGGGACACACCGTCTCCATGGCAACACTTGGAGCTGGGGGGAGCAGGGCGTGCGGGGACATGTCATCTCCATGGCAACACACCGTCGTTTTAAATCAACCACGTCCGGGTCATTAGCCCCCGCCTTCGCCTCTGACTTGAGGAGAGGCCGCGTTCGATTGGCTCCTGTCACGGAGAAGCCCCGCCCCCACTTCCGGCTTGCTGGGTGTTGACAAGATGGCGGCGATCGGGGGGCTGCAGGACCGGGTGGAGGCGCTGGAGCGCCGGGTGTTCGGGCCCGGGGAGGCCCGCGGGCCGCGCAAGGTGCGGGGGCGGGCTCCTGAGCACCCCCCGCCTGGCTTGTATGTGACCCCCTGGAGCGGGGCCCGGGCGGGGAGCTGCCCCCCCCCAGGGGACCATCCAGGGGCCCTGGGCTGGGCCAGCGGGGATCGTTCCCTGCGGCTCGGGGCCTAGTGCCGAGGCAGGTGGCTCCAGCCTCCGCATTGGGGGCAGCAGCCCCGGGGGATTGGCCCCCGAGGGGCTATGGGAGGGAGGCGCTTGCGGGGGGGGATTGGCCCCCGAGGGGCTCATGGGGGAGGCAGCCAAGCTCTGGCTGTTTGTTCTTTCAGCTGCCGCCCCCGGCTGCGGGTTCTTGTCCCGCGGGCCTTGCTCGCTCCGCTCCTGCCCTGAGCGATGCTCCCCGGCCAGCAGAGCTCCCCCGGGGGCGGAGCCTTTTGTCCCAATGCCCCTGACGGGCTGCCTAGCTCGGGGCTGCTTCATTTACTTCTGAGCTGCAGCCACCCCTGGGGTGCAACGTGGGCTCTGTTTAGCAGCCTGTAGTAACGTTCCGGAACCATTCCGGCCGTTACGGGGGAGGGATAGCTCCGTGGTTTGAGCATCGGCCTGCTAAACCCAGGGTTCTGAGTTCAAGCCTTGAGGGGGCCACTTAGGGATCTGGCGCAAAAAAATCAGTACTTGGTCCTGCTAGTGAAGGCCGGGGGCTGGACTCGATGACCTTTTGGGCTCATAGACCTTCCAGCTCTATGAGATAGATATATCTCCATATGTTGTTGTTAAATATGCTGCATGTCAATGTTAGTAACAGAAACAGTTTTAAATAGACATTTTATCTTCTCTCACTGCTGGTCTGTTCCTGACAGTTTAGTTGTGGGATCCTAGTTAGAAGTGTCATTTAATCACTGTTTGGTTTATAACACCATCGCTTTCCTTCTAGGCAGCAGATGGCTTGGTGAAAGTTCAGGTGGCTTTGGGGAACATTGCAAGCAAAAGAGAGAGGATTAAAATTTTGTATAAGAAAAGTAAGTATTCGTCCAGCATTTGTGTTTTGTGTTTTTTTTTTACCCCCAGGGTTTAGATCCAAATTGTATTTTATATGGTGGTCTTGTTGGGTGGCCTGTCTGAGATCATTTGAGTTGTGTTTCGGAGTGGGTTTAAAAACAACCCTCATAATTAGCTCCTTGGGAGGCAAAGGACTGAGTAGACAAGCTGGCATCTCTCGAGTGCAGTGTACCTCTTGAGAGGTGAGAGTAAGGAATCTACTTTGGTTTCTGTTTCGGTATCCGAGATCTAAAACCTAAGGTTTCAGCTTTACTCCTTCCCTAGGACTGTGTGTGCTATCCCCTGTGATCAGATCCCCTAGAAATCCGCAGCCCATCAGGCCTGATGTCATCAGAAAGGATTTATTCATAGATTCATAGATTCTAGGACTGGAAGGGACCTCGAGAGGTC